GCTAGCGCTCTACCACCTGAGCCACAGCGTCACTTCCAGTTTTTTCTTTTTTGCTTATGTGGTGCTGAGGAATCAAACCCAGGGCCTCGAGCATGCAAGGCAAGCGCTCTACCACTGAGCCACCTTCCCAGCCCTCTGTGAGACTCTTAACTGTAATAAACTACCAAAAAAGCTGGAAGCACAGCTGTGGCTCAAGTGGTCAAGCATTAGACTATAGCAAAAGAAATTTAGGGGCAGAGCCTATGCCCTGAATTTAAGCCACAGGACTGGTAGACACACATAACTCCCCTACACACACACACACACCTACACACACACACCAAAAAAGGCCTAGGCAAAAAAATTGAATAGATGTCTCAAGTAACATATATGAATGGCTAATAACCACATGAAAAGATGTCCAACAACATTAGTGATTAGAGAAATGCATATTAAAACCACAATACCTACAACTTCACATCCGCTAGAACAGTTACCAAAGAAACAGATAAAAAAATTGGTAATTATATGGACAAACAAACCCTTATATATTATATTGCCCTTAGGAATGTAAAATTGGTACAGCCACTTTGAAAAACACTTTGGTAACTGCTTGAAAACTTAAACATAAACTTACCATTCAATTAATAATTCTATTTCTAGCCAGGCACTGGTGGCTCATGCTTGTAATCCTAGCTACTCAGGAGGCTGAGTTCTGAGGATAGCAGTTCAAAGCTAGCCAGGGCAGGAAAGTCTGTGAGACTCTTTTGTTGTTGGTGGTGGTGGTGGTTGTGGGGCTTGAACTCTGGGCCCTCATCTCTTCAGCTCAAGGCTAGTGCTCTACCACTTGAGCCACAGTGTCACTTCTGGTTTTCTGGTGATTTTTATTGGAGATAAGAGTCTCATGGACTTTCGAGCTGGCTTTGAACTGCGATCCTCAGATCTCAGCCTCCTGAGTAGCTAGGATTACAGGTGTGACCCATTGGCGCCCTGCCTGTGAGACTCTTATCTACAGTTAACCCCCAGAAAACTGGAAGTGGCACTGATAGCCTTGAGCAAAAAGGAGCTCAGGGTCAGTGCCCAGGCCCTGAGTTCAAGCCCCAGGACTGGCAAAAATAAATAAATCTAAGCTGGACTCTGGAAGCTGAGATCTAAGTGTCCTAGTTCGACGCCAGTGCTGGCATACAAATCTGAGGGATTGTTATCTCCAATTAACCACCAAAAAGCTGGAAGTGGAAATGTTGCTCAAGTGGTAGAGTGCCCAGGACCTGAGTTCAAGCCCCAGTATGGATACCAAATAAGTAAATAAATAAACAAATATGCCACCACCATGTTAGCAAGAAATGGCAACTATTTCCTGTCATCAGCCACCCCATTCCCATCCTCTTCCCCGTCCCCAGTGGTGCTTGCCTGACCATTTCTTCTTGGTTTTGGCAAGGACTTTGCAATCGAAGACAGTTCATCAGATCAAGAAAAGACACAAAGTTCTACAAACACGAAGGGACAGGGGCAAAGTTGGCACTCACAGCCCCAGAGGTGTGAACCGGTTCACCCAGCCCAGCCTGAAACGCTCAAGCGCCGTACTACTAGACGCCGCCTGCAGGGGGAGCCCGAGCGCCACGCGCGGCCCCGCCCCGTCACGTGTCCGCGGCGCCGCGTCGCACCCGGAAGCGGCGGCCGGAGCGGAGCTGGCAGCAATGAGTGGGGAGCCGGGGGAGGTGTCCCTAGCGCCCCCTCCCGGGGAGGCCGAGCCGGGCAGTGGGGTCCGCATCGTGGTGGAGTACTGGTGAGCTGCTGGAGCTGGGGGCGCCCCTGCGCTCCCCGGGCGGGCGGGCGGGCCGGAGGTAGGTCCTCGGGAGGCCCCGGCCCCGGCCCCGGAACCCCAGCCCACCCCCACCCGCTCCACCTCTTCTCCGCAGTGAACCCTGCGGCTTCGAGGCGACCTACCTGGAGCTGGCGAGCGCCGTGAAGGAGCAGTATCCGGGCATCGAGATTGAGTCGCGCCTGGGAGGGACAGGTGAGGTCCTTCAGGACACCTGCTGACTCAGTTCTGTGCTCCAAACCAGAGCCCTCTTACTGTCTAACCCTCACCCTGGCTGCTGTTCTTGAAGTGCCAGCTGTATCCGGCACCGAGTAAAAAATGCCCGACCAATACAGGGGAGCCGCACCCCCTCACCATCCTGAGGCTTGAAGCCGAGACCCTCTCTAGTGTGGGTTTGGAGGGGAGGGACGTCCACCGCTGAGCTCACCGTGGTTGGAGGATGGCTTAAGGAACTACAGATGAGTATGGAGGTGGAGAGGTGCATTCATTCATGCATTTGTTCCCTCTCAGGGGCCTTTGAGATTGAGATCAATGGACAGCTGGTGTTCTCCAAACTGGAGAATGGGGGCTTTCCTTATGAGAAAGATGTGAGTATTTGCAGCAGCAGGGAGGACCCTCTGGGACATCCCCACCCCAGCGGTGCACCATCATTCTTATTCTACACCTCTGCCCTCTAGCTTATCGAGGCCATCCGGAGAGCCAGTAACGGAGAACCCCTGGAAAAGATCACCAACAGCCGACCTCCCTGCGTCATCCTGTGACTGCACATGATTCGGGGTTCCTGCTCTGTTCTGGGGTTCAAACTTTGGTTTCCCCTTGGTCCTGCTGGGAACTCTCCCTGCCTCTTTTCCCTCTCTTAGCTCCTGGTAGCTAAGAGATCCTGGTCTGCACTTTGCCCCTTTGGGCACCGGAGGGAATAGAAACTTTTATGGTCTTGGGGAGTTAACAAAGAGATGCTTCCCATTGGACATTTCTACAGCAGCCTTATACCCCTCCACAGGATCAGTGCCCACAACTGCCCAGTCCTCTCCTCAGCTTGGCAATACCTGTCAGATGCCACAGTAGATCTAATTTGTTTCCCCTGAGCCCTGGGCAATGTCAGCTGTTGGTAATAAAGAGGCACTACAGACACTTGTGCTGACGAATGTGTGTTTATGTCCTGTCCAGGAGTGTGGGGGGGCATGGAGGTCAGTTGCGCCTTTATACCACCTGGTGGGTGGGCTCTTTCTGGACAGCTGCTTACTTTAGGGAGTTCCTCTCTTAGCCAAGGCAAGGAACATGAGTCATGTAGTAGACAGTGCCTCTCTCCCCCCTTCCCTGCCCCTAACTCCCCTTCTCCACAGGAAGGAAGTGAGCCCATTCTGGTGGGTGGCCTTAGGAATGAGTTTGTTGAAGCAAGAATGATCCAGTTGTCAAAGAGCCCTCAGATAGAAACCTTAATTTGTGGGGCTGGGAAGGTGGCTCATTGGTAGAGTGCTTGCCTTGAATGCATAAGGCCCTGGGTTTGATTCCTCAACACCACATAAACAGCAAAAGGCAGAAGTGGCTTTGTGGCTCAAGTGGTAGAGTGCTAGCCTTGAGCTGAAGAGCTCAGGGACAGCGCCCAGGCCCAGAGTACAAGATCCACAACCAACCAAAAGCAAAAAAGAAAAGGAAATCTTAATTTGCTCCTCATTCAAGCTTTTAGAAGATTCCTATCCATTTTCCCCAAGAAAAATGTTGTATGTAAGGTAAGCAGTAAGGTCTGGCTAGATCTACCCCAAAACATAGGCTGTGGCCCAGCTGTTTCCAGAATCTATTGGCAAATGAGTGTGCAGAGTCTTCCCTTCCCCAATCCCAAGAATACCTCCCCCCTCCCCCCACTCTCATATAGTACCCCACGCTCCTTCTGGGTCCTTATTTCATGTTTAAAAAACAAAAATAAAAAAAAACAAACAAAAATGTATTCTGTACAAGGATTGGCCTGGACACCAGTGCAGCTTCGTTCCTCCTGGGGCAGAGGAGAGCACTAGGTCTCAGGGACAGTCTGTTGTGGGGTTGTCCTCTAAACAGGCCTTTGGCACCTCTTCTCTCCTAGGCCCCACTTCCCTTGGTCCTTCAGAACCCAAGGTCTGGAAGAAGGCTGGGCAGGGCCACAGCCTCAGGTATGCAGACCATGGCTGTAGCATCCAACATCTGGTGGGGCAGGACTCCAAAATCAACCAAGACTGCCCAGTGCACCCCTTCTACCAACCAGGCTGGGTACTTCTTGGCTGCCTGGGAATTCAAGCAGGAAGGAAGGTTCTTCAGAGCATGTTTCTGGCACAAAGCTCCCCTTGCCATGGTCACAGAGCCCTCGATCAGCTTTCCAGTGACGGGCTGCAGGTCGGCCTTGCCCCAACTCCAGGATTCAGCAGGGCCTCAGCACACTTGGTCTCTGGCTCACACTGGAACATCCAGGCCCAGGTACTCGGGGTTTTCTGCTGTAGGGGTCCCTTCAAAGGTGCTGGGTGGAGGCCCTCGTTCTGATCGGTCCTGGTTCCAGTAGTAGAGGTTATCAAAGGCTGGGCTGAATGCTGGAGGAGGGTGGGGTTGGGTACCAGTGCTTCCCCGAGGTGCCAAGTACTCTGGGTTCTCCACAGCACCCCCAAAGGCAAAAACGTCTTTGACAACCCCATTCTTCCCAGGGGAGAGAGTCTTGGGCCTTTCCAGAGTGGCACCAGCAGGTCGGACAGAAGAAAGAGGACCCTCCGGGGGTAAGGTAGGCTGTGACCGAACTTCTGGCTGGTTCACATATTCTGAAAGGCCAAGTGAACAGAGTTCATTAGATGTCCCCCCTGCCATAACTACTGCCCCCACAGAGGGTTCCCATCCCCCCCTGTCTGGGAGGAAGCCTGGATTCCATACCTGGCTGGGGGCTGCAGGTGAGGGGAGCAACGTAGCCATCCATCTCCAGGGGCAGAGGCACTGTGGGGTCCTCACTGTACCGCTGCAGGGGGCTGAGGTCATGTTGGGGGAGGCTCTGCAACCCCTTAGCTGCCCCTACCCCCAAGTCACCATCGAATACATCAGAGCCAGCCCCTTCTGAGGGGGCTAGTGGAGACCTGGGTGGTTCTTCTTCAGAAGGCTCCAGCCCCAGGGTCAGCTCACCACCTCCACTCTGGAGACAAGATAGAAAGTTACAATGGAGTTGCTCATGGGGTCTGGGAGGGGCCTTCATGGGAAGTGGCAAGGTTATAGGAGAAAAACGTCATCTCTGGGATGAGACAGTCATTGTGGAGAAAAAGGGGTTACAGGAGCTAAGAAGCAATGAGAATCCTCAGGGATAATGGGGTCTCCACAAGAGGGGAATGTAGGTGAGCACCAAAGAAAGGTACCCAGGCTGGGTGCTGGTGGCTCACGCCTGTAATCCTGGCTGCTCAGGAGGCTGAGATCTGAGGATCACAGTTCAAAGCTAGCCTTGGCAGGAAAATCTATGAGACTCTTAACTCCAACTAACCACTAGAAAACTAGACTGGAAGTGGAGCTGTGGCTCAGTGTGGTAGAGTGCCAGCCTTGAGTTTAAGCCCCGTAAAAAAGAGAGAGACAGAGACAGAGAAAAAAAAAGGCACTTAGTGCATCAGCACAGGAGAGGTAAGCTACCAAGCCATCATATTATGACTAACACTGACCCTGGTGGATGAGCTTCGATGCCTGCGGTGGGTGGTACCCCCTGTGCCTGGAGCAGGGTCTGGGCAGAAGAAACCCTGTTGGGGTACCAGGTACTCCTCAGCATCCACCAGGTCCCCCATGTCATCATCCTCCAGCAGTGAGCGGTAGAAGGTGCTGTCCAAGGGACTGGCTGTACCCAAGTCCTCATTCTAGGGAGGAGAGAGATAGAAGTGAGGGCCCCAGCCTAGCCCAGCCTGGCATGCAGTATTTGGCACACAGAGTGCCAGAGGTGGGCATCAGACGTTCTTTCCCCTCTCTTCCCTCTGCAGGAGGTGTAGGCTTAGTGAGAGGTATGGGGTAGGAAGGCCCAGTACCTGGATGACCACAAAGCGCTGGGGGTCCCTGGCCATGCGAGAAAATTCAACCACCAACTCCCGGAATCTTGGCCGGCATTCAGAATCAATCATCCAACCTGGGGGAAGAGGAGGAGCTCGGCATCGTCATCCTGCACCCCTAACCCTGTCCCCATCTCAAGTCAGGCCCAGACAACCCTGGCTGATGCTGAGTTCTCATGAAGCAGACCTTGAGAAGACTCAGGGGTCTTGAGCTGGAACCATGGGGCATTTCTCTTAGTCCCTCTGGTTCTCACATGTTGCAGTATAGTAGGCTATCGGTAGCTGTTAAGCTAGAGCAGCTCAGGACTTCTATTGTGAAAGGGATATGAGGGGCTTCAAGTATACCAGGGCTCTGGGCCCATTTTCATCCTGCTCTTGGTGCCTGGTATCCCTGTGGGTCCTCTTCCCTTCCCCCATCACACACGCTCAGCCCTATCACGCACATTTGACCATGATCATATAGACGTCAATGGTGCAGATAGGGGGCTGGGGCAGCCTCTCCCCCTTCTCCAGCAGGTCAGGGATCTCCCGGGCAGGTATTCCATCATAGGGTTTGGCTCCAAAAGTCATGAGTTCCCACACAGTCACACCTACAATGAACAGGGTATCAGAAGTGGAGGGCAAGAGGCAGCAATGGTCTGTGAAGTACAGAAGCTGTGCCCAGGGGCTTGGGGCAATGGCAGGGGAAGGGACAGGATCCACCCAGTCTCCCCTCTATCCCTGGCTAGACACCCCTCCCCCAGCCCCAACCTGCTCTCACCCCTCCAAATACCACCCCCTCTCCATGGTTCCTCATCCAGCCTCTCTCCCCCAACACACACCATAGCTCCATACGTCACTCTGGTGGGTGAACCGCCGGCGGAGAATGGATTCTAATGCCATCCACTTGATGGGCACCTAGGAGGACAGAGGCCCTCAGACTGGGTGGGGAGGTAATCCTTCTCAGCGCCGCCCCCCACCAGACCCCTCTCCACCCTGCTCATTCTGCTCCTTCCTCCCACCTTGCCACCATCCGCGTGGTACTCAGTCTCATCAATGTCCAGCAGCCGAGCTAGCCCGAAGTCTGTAATCTTGACGTGATTTGGACTTTTGACCAGAACATTGCGGGCAGCCAGGTCCCTGTGTACCAGCCGCACATCCTCCAGGTAGCTCATGCCCTGGAATGGGAGGTACCAGTGTGGATCTTCAGACTGGGCCTCACCCTGGTCACCCTCCCAGAAGATCACCCATCCTACCCCCACGGAATAACGGGAACTGGCTCCCAAGGCACCTGCAGGGTCCAACCCCAACAAAGGCATACCTTGGCTATCTGCACACACCAGTTGAGCAGGTCCTGAGAGCCCAGGCGCCCTCGGTGTTCTCGGACGTGGTCCAAAAGGCAGCCATAGGGCATAAGCTGTGTCACCAGCTGCACCGTGGAAGTCAGGCAGATGCCCAGGAGGCGAGACACATAAGGGGAGCCCACACCAGCCATCACATAAGCTTCCTGTAGAGGAGGATATGCTGAGAGGGCATGGAAGACTACAACTTGTCCAACCGTCATGATCCCCTCTGCACAACCCTTGGCCCAGGCCTGCAGACTGGATTAATCAAAGTCAGATTTCATTAATCCAGTCTAAGTGTGTAGCCAGGCTGTCCCTCACAAACTCCCTCAGGAACGGGTAGCCAGGCTTACATCCAAGATTTCTTTGTTGGCTTTGGGAGATGTGTTTTCCCTCAACACTTTGATGGCCACAGGGATTTTCACGTTCTCTCCATCTGGGATCCAGATGCCCTGAGCAGGAAGAAGAGGATGGGAATGAACCAGGAGTATGGACCAGACCCAGGTTCTTCTTTATGCCCCTCCCTCTAGCTTGCTCCATTCCCTCCCTCAAACAGCATTACTTGGTGTCTTCACACACACACACACAGCCCTGGGCCCCATCCTCCAGATTTGCCCACCCCATGCCCCAGCCCCACCCCTAACCTTGTAGACTGTGCCAAAAGCTCCAGATCCAAGCACCTTCACCTTCCTTAGCTCAGTCTCTTTCAAGATCCGCATCTGAGCCTGGTTGGGTATTGCTCCACTGGGTGTCAGAGGCTCCACCAACTGGGGTGAAGGGGGTGGTGGGTCAGT